TGTCGGAGGGTTTTGAGTGCCCGCGAAGACTTTAGCCCTAAGTTACCTACGCACGAATCTAAGCTAAACCTCAACCCTTGCTGAACCCTAAGCCCTACACTCCAAACCCCCATAATCCTACACCCCAAACCCGAAACCCCAAACCCTAAACCCCAAACCCTAAGCCCCAAACCCTAAACCCTAAACCCCAAACCCCCAAACCCTAAACCCTAATCCCCAAACCCTGAAAGCACCACACCGGTGACCAGGGAAGACGGCCCTGAGCTTCGCCGCGGAGCAGGCGGACACCGACATGACGGCCACGCCGCTTGGGGCGCTTGTTAACGTACGGGTGCGTGCGAGGCAAACTTTGGGGATTAGGGCTTAGGGTTTAGGGGTCAGGGTTTAGGGTTTAGGGTTTAAGGGTGTAGGCGTTTCCGAACTCAGCATTTTGTGGTCCATATATATATATATATATTATATTATTCTTATTATTATTATTTTTTTTTTTTTTTTTTTTTTTTGGGGGGGGGGGGGGGGCGGGGGGAATCCTCATGTCCATTTCTATACATAGATATATATACACACACATATATATATATACATGTTTATGTATACATAAGAAGTACATGTATATACATGTATATACATGTGTATACATGTGTATACATGGGTTGACATGTTTGCCATCAAAGGCTGCTGCTTGTTTAGTATCGCGAAACTGGCATTGACTTTGGACGCACGGGCTCGTAAGCTGCGAAATGGTCGTCAAAATCTGAGCTCCTATTTAGGGTTTAGGGTGTAGGGTTAAACCCTAAACCCTAAACCCTAAACCCTAAACCCATCTTTGAGAACCAACGTCTAGCCGAAGCAATATGTGGCTCAGAATTGCCAGAATAGCAAGTGTAATTCTAGCGCAATACACTGCGATAGCACTGCAACGGTGCGCTGTACGTTACAAGTATGTGTATACATATACATGTACATGTACATGTACATGTACACATACATATACATGCAAATATATAACATATGCTTAATTTGTACATATAAACAAATTTGCACTGTATACACATATTGTTCCAGGAATCCAGCGAGTACAGGCTTCTCCCGGCAGAAACCCTAAACCCTCGATTCCGAACTCTGCAGGCCTCAGGCCTAAAACCTAAACGCCTGAACCCTAAGACCCCTTTTTGGTGCTTGAAGCCCTACACCCTAAACCCTAACCCTAAACCCTAAACCCTAAACCCTAAACCCTAAACCCTAAACCCTAAACCCTAAACCCTAAACCCTAAACCCTAAACCCTAAACCCTAAACCAAAAGGAAGAGACAAAAAGAAGAGCTCTCTGCCATCCTTAGGTCCGTCAACCCTGCGTCCTATACAACTCCATAATCTAGGGGGCTGCATAATTAGAATAGGGTTTTGGGGTTTAGGGTTTAGGGTTCAGGGTTTAGGGTTTAGGGTTTACTGAGGGAATATCTTTAGTACTCATTCCGACCCCTACAGTACTTCCCAGGCTGCTGAACTACGGCGCAGACGTGGAGCTGCTTTGCTTTTCGATCACCGCTGTTTTGTTTGAGGGTGTACCTGGGGGGACCAAAGGAACCCTAAGAGGGTGTTACGGTTCATATAGGGTTTAGGGTTTAGGGTTTAGGTTTAGGGTTTAGGGTTTAGGGTTATGCCTAAGTAGGAGTTATATAGTATAGGGTATATATGACAACATTTTCAGGGCTCATTTCGGTTTAGGGTGTGGGGGAAAGGGTTTGAGGTTGAAGGCTTACGGTTTAGATTTTGGGGGTTTCGGGTGTAAGTAGGTTAGGGGTACAAGGGGGACCCAATGAACCCTCAAAGGGTTTATTATTATTTTTTTTTGCCCCCTCAAAACCTCCATAACTAAGCCTCCTGAAAGCCCCTTCAGAAGAGACATCCCCCCCCAAAGAATCCCCCAAAACCCCAAACCCTACAATGCCCTTGAAATTCACTGCGCCTGTAGTCAAAACAGCCCTAAGCCCTAAACCCTAAACCCCAAACCCTAAACCCTAAACCCTAAACCCTAAACCCTAAACCCTAAACCCTAAACCCTAAACCCTTTGAAGATCCCCCAAGCTAACCATAACTTAAGCATCCAGGGCTGGCATGGCTCCGCAGAGTACCTTCTGGATTCTGCAGAACTTGGGCGGCCCCAAGTTTGAACAGGCCCAGCTTCTTTTGGGGTGTTAGGGGTTTGGGGCTTAGGGTTTAGGGTAGTAGAGTAGGTAAACCTTTAAATTCCCCCCCCCAAGTATGAACAGGCCTTTGCAGCCCAGTGGTACCGGGGGTTTAAGGTTCCCTTGCAAAAGGGTAAACTTATTGTGGTATGAACAGGCCCAGCTTTAGGGTTGCAGCCCAGAGGTACCCTTTTCCTTTTTTTTTTTTGTTTGGGGGGGGGGGTTTGTTAAGGTTCCCTTCTTGTAAACGAGTACCCTTATTATGGTATGAACAGGCCCACCTTCTTTTGGGGTTTTAGGGTTTGGGGTTTCGGGTTTGGAGTTTAGGGTTTGGGGTTTAGGTTGGGTTTAGGGTATGCGGTTTAGGTTGGGTTTTAGCTTTGGGGTGTAGGGTTGGGTGTAGGGTTTGGGGTTTAGGATTTGGGGTTTAGGATTTGGGTTTTAGGTTTTTGGGTTTAGGGTTTGGGGGTTTGGGGCTTGTGAATCTAGTGAAGACATGATCTTTGGTGGTTTGGGGTTTAGGGTTTCACGCGGACTCTTCATGCGATTCCAACATCGGGGTGTTCAATTAAGACAGGACTAAGAGTGCTGAAGGTTAGCCAGCAGATATATTTCCCAGAATGATCACCTCATTATCGCCCTTGCTACTATTCCAATTAATTTGGCCCCTAAACCCCAAACCCAAAACCCGAATTCATTGGGCTGACTACGATCTTTTCCGGGGTGCAGGATTTCTGGTTTGGGAAAAGCTGACGAAGTTCCGTGAGACGCCGTGCATGGCAGAATTGTTGAGTAGAGGCAGAGATCTACAGGCGTTTAGGGTTTAGGCTGCTGCTCATTTTTGCCACCCACCAATGAGCCCAGTTGTGGAGAGATTGTTTGAAATTGGCGGGGGAAAGCCACGTAAACCCCCCTCCCAAACCCCAACCCCATTGAGGACTCTTTTGCCCTGAGCTTCATGGAATGAAACCCTAAACCCTAAACCCTCAACCCTAAACCCTAAACCCTAAACCCTAAGCCTAAGCCTTAAACCGCAAGAGGGTCTGCCAACTACCTAGAGTAACGCCTTCAACCCTTAAAAAAGGGGAAATGCCCTAAACCCTAAACCCTAAACCCCAAATCCTACTGCATTCTTGGATAGCTGTGCCTCAAGGTAGGTTCATGCCCACAGCAGGTGAAGCAAATGATTATGACCATGATGGCACAGTCCCTCGGCCGCCTCAGGATGCTATTCCTAAACCCTAAACCCTAAAAAAACTAAACCCCAACATTACCCAAACCCTAAAAACCTTAAACCCCAAAAGCCCTAAACCCTAAAAGCCCTCAAAAAAACCCTAACAAACCCAATCCCCTAAAAACCCTCAACCCCTAAACCCTAACCCTCATGACTTTAGGCATGACCCTCAAGGGTTGAAAAAGGTTTTGGGGGCCTGCAAGGATCCTGACACCGCCACCGAAGCCCAACGCCCCGAAAGAGGTTAGGTTTAGGTTTCAGGGTTTTAGGGTTTAGGGTTTAGGGTTTAGGGTTTAGGGTTGAGGGTTTAGGGTTTAGGGTTTAGGGTTTAGGGTTTAGGGTTTAGGGTTTAGGGTTTAGGGTTTAGGGTGTATACGGTTTACACTTTGGGCTTAGGGGCCTCAACTTTCCAGCGCCCCACCAAAACACCTTGAATCTCCAAGCTGTGGATGGTTTGGACGCCGGTAGTACTAGGATGTGTCATCTCGCGATTTTGTCGGGAAACAGCAGGGCCCTATTCAGCTTTAGTCTGATGTTTTTGGGGGTCTATGGCTTAGGGTGGTTTAGGGCTTGTTTAGGCCTTAAGGGACGATTGCTTTCGGTTGTGTGTCTTGTTGGCGCCTATATACATAAGACCCAAAGCGAAAGCCGCCCCTTGTTGGCGCCTATATACATAAGACCCAAAGCGAAAGCCGCCCCTGGATTACAAGCCCTAAACCCCAAGCCCTGAACCCACCCTAAACCCTAAACCCTAAACCCCAAACCCTAGAACCCCAAGACCCTGAGCCGCCCCAAGACCTAGACCCTAAACCCTAAACCCCCAAAACAAACCCTAAACCCTAAGCCTACAAACCCTAAACCCTATAAACAATAATCCCTATAAACCCTAAACCCTGATCCCTAAACCCTCAACCCTAAACCCCATGAACCCTGCACCCTAAACCCTGAACCCTAAATCCTAAACCCTAAACCCTATGAACCCTGCACCCTAAACCACAAACCCTCAGCCCAACCCCTCAACCCTAAGAACCCTAAACCCTAACCCCTAAACCCTAAGAACCCTAAACCCTGAACCCTAAACCCTAAACCCTAAGAACCCTAAACCCTGAACCCTAAACCCTAAACCCTATGAACCCTAAACCCTGAACCCTAAACCCTAAACCCTATGAACCCTGCACCCTAAACCCTAAACCCTAAACCCTAAACCCTAAACCCTAAACCCTATGACCCGACCCTAAACCCTAAACCCTGCGAGGAGCCGCATGGGCTTCAACCGCTGGGTCTTCCCTGTGAGTGGGCGCTGCCTGAATGCAGATCAAGGGCCCACCGGGGGGGTTTAGGGTTTAGGGTTTAGGGTTTAGGGTTTAGAGTGTAGGGTTTCGGGTTCAGGGTTTGGCTTCAGGGTTGGGTTTGGGAGTGTTTGAGGCTAGGTTTTATAGGGCTTCTAGCTGGAGATTCAGGTCATACCCAATTGTTGGTGGTGGGGGAGACTTTGGGGACTGCCAATGATAAACACCCAGACATAGCACTATGGGTGCACATGAGTAGGTATATATTAGGACCCAGAGTAGGCCCTTATCCCTTATTGTTCATGGTTTGTTTCCCTTGCAAGCCCCTTCAAAATCACCCGGTTTTATTCCTAGGTTATTCTTGGGTTCAGGTTCTGAGTGATTTAAACAAGTTACGACTCGCCGGCAAAGCTTTCCTGCAGGCAAACTACTCCAGGCACAGGCCTTAGCCCTGACGCCCCCCCCGAAAGCCTGTTACTCTGAACCCCTCAACCTCCTTAAACCCCCTCAGCTCGTGAAGCTCCGAAACTCTCCAGAAACCCGAAACCCAGAAACCCTGAAACCCTGAAACCCTGAAACCCACAAAGCCCTGAAACCCTGAAGCCCACAAAGCCCTAAACCCTGAAACCCCTAAACCCTGAAACCCTGAAACCCTGAAGCCCACAAAACCCTAAACCCTGAAACCCTGAAGCCCACAAAGCCCTGACACCCTGAAACCCTAAAACCCTGAAACCCTGAAACCCTGAACCCTGAAACCCTGAAGCCCACAAAACCCTAAACCCTGAAACCCTGAAGCCCACAAAACCCTGAAACCCTGAAACCCTGAAACCCTGAAACCCTGAAACCCTGAAACCCTGAAGCCCGAAACCCTGAAAGCCACAAATCCCTGACACCCTGAAGCCCAGAAAACCCTGAAACCCTGAAACCCTGAAACCCACAAAGCCTGAAACCCTAAACCTAAACCCTAAACCCTAAGCCCTAAGCCCTAAACCCTAAACCCTAAACCCTAAACCCTAAGCCCCTTTGGCGCTGAAAGGTCGGGACCTGCCGGTCAGCCACGACACGGAGGCGTCTTCCCAGAGAACCCTCAAACGACCCTCCGAAGGGGCCCCTAGAGGGTTAAGGATCTAGGATTTAGTTAGGGTTTAGGGTTTAGGGTTTGGGGTTTAGGGTTTAGGGTGTAGGGTTTAGGGTTTAGGGTTTAGGGTTTAGGGTTTAGGGTTTAGGGCTCCTAAAACCTTTTGAACTTCAAAACCCGAATTAAAGCCGCGCACCTAACACTACAAAGCCTCGTAAAGTCTCCAAAGCCCCTAAAGTTCCCTTGAAGCCTAAACCCTAAACCCCAAGCCCCTATAAAACCTAAACCCGAAACCCCAAACCCTAAACCTCCAAAGCCTAAACCCTAAACCCTACACTCTAAACTCCAAAGCCTAAACCCCAAACCCCAAACCCAACCCTCCGCCCGCGAGAGGCGCTCGAGCGCGACCTGCTGCGCACCGCGTCCATGCCGGGCTCCGCCCCTTGGCCTTCGGGTTTCGGGTTTCGGGTTTAGGGTTTAGGGGTTCAGGGTTTAGGGGTTTAGGGGTTTAGGGTTTAGGGGTTTAGGGGTTTAGGGTTTAGGGTTTAGGGGTTTAGGGGTTATAGGGTTTAGGGGTTCAGGGTTTAGGGTTTAGGGTTTAGGGGCTCAGGGTTTAGGGTTTTAGGGTTTTAGGGTTTAGGGTTTAGGGTTCAGGGTCCAGGGTCCAGGGTTCAGGGTTCAGCTCCGGATCGAGCAGTGTTATGGTAGTGTTATATGTTCGGCGCTGATATAATACCCACCCACCCAGAGAATCCTATAACATCAAGAAAATAGAATGTATCTTCATACAACAAAGCTCTATTCAACGAAGGTTACGACTACAGACAATTCGTTGTTAAGCTTCCGCATAGCGTCACACAAGGAAGATGGTTATTACAGGAGAAAGTGTGGGCCTTGAAACCCTAACCCCAGGTTTGTAGGACTTTAGGTTTGAGGCTTTTAGGGTTTTAGGGTTCGGGACTTTAGGGTTTAGGGTCTGGGGTTTTTGGGTTCAGGGTGTGGGTTAGTTTTTTAGGGCTGATATCGGTTTTAGGGTTAAGGGTTCAGGGTTTCGGGGTTTCAGGGTTCAGTGTTTTAGGATTTAGGGCTGATATCGGTTTTTGGGCTGATATTGGTTTTGGGTTTTTAAGTTTTTTTGCCTAGGGGGTTTTCAGGGTTTGGGGTTTTATTTTGTTGGGGTTTTAGGGTCTTGGGGGGTGTAGGGCTGATTGGTTCTCCAGGGATGAGCGAGGAGTAGACCGGGCGAGTAGAATGGGCGAGGAGTTGAATTAAACAATTCTAACAACTCCACACCGAGGGTGGGGAAAAACCCAAACCCTTATCAAGCTCGAAGCCCTGAAAGCCATCCAAAGGACGCAACTGGCCGGCTCAAGTCGCTGCTGGATGTTGTGGACACTGGTAAGCCTGAACCCTAAACCCTAAACCGAAAACCCTGAACCCTAAACCCTAAACCCTGGGGGCTTGGCGAGCTCACATCTGCAGTCCTTCAATCCCTTAGATGCTTAGCCCAAAAATATGGGCCTCGAAGGATTTGGCTGTTAGGGCCGTTTGGGGGATATCACACCCTTCCAGAGATGTGTCGTTTGTTGGCAAACCCCAAGCCCTGAGCCCTATGCAACCCCACCATAAAGACTAGACCCTAACCCCCCCACCCCCCGCCCAAAAAAAAGGCTCAAGAAGGCTCTAGCGGCCCCTCACTCTCAGGCCTGCAAAACCCGAAACCCGAAACCCTAAATCCCTGAACCCTAAACCCTAAACCCTAAACCCTAAACCCTAAACCCTAGCTGAGAGGACCTTGGCTGCAAGGACTTCCGAGGACGCTGCGCTCTCTGGAAGGCTCGTCAAAGGGCGCGGGAGGCTGTTGTAGGGCCTTCAGGGAGCTTTATAGGACTTCGGTTTCAGGGTTTAGGGTTTAGGGTTTCGGGTTTAGTGATCGTCAGCTCTTGTAGGGCTTTAGGGAACTTTAGGACTTCGGTTTCGGAAGCCCTACGTACGACACCATATAGTATGGTTAAGGAAAGCCCTATGACCTCTCTCAGCTTTTTGCACCCCGCGGTCGGACTGCAACAGCGTTCTTAGACAGTTTAGGGTTTAGGGTTTAAGGTTTAGGGCAGTTTAGGGTTTATTTATAGGGTTTACAGGGTTTATAGGGTTTATAGGGTTTATAGGGTTTAGGGCCAGAGCAGAATGGGAGATACCTCCATGTTCGGGCCGCCCGTTGGTACTGGGGTTTTAAGGTTTTTAGGGTCCCGTAGATCCCAAAACCTACCATACGCCCCCGCCCCTCCCCCCCCCCCTATTAAAGAACAAAAAGGACCCCTACCTTTCTTTACGGTCCGCGAAATGTCGGACCCAATTCATTCCCCAAAGCCTTCCAGAGAGAGCCGTGAAAAGGGGCTGTACGGCTGACGGGGCTTAGGGATTGTAGGGTTTACCAGCATGTGCTATGATACCCTACGACCCCTTAAACAAGGCCGTTTATAGGGTTGATGATGGGGATGATAGGGCCGAATACCCTATACCCTATACCCTAAACCCATAAACCCTAAACCCTAAACCCTTTTAAAAACGGGGAGGCCAGCTTCAGCGGGGACATTGACAAGGTGGAGTGGCTGGTGTGCCCCAGCAGAAGATCCCGAGAGCTTTCGCCATGTCGAAGGCTCTTTAAGTGGCCTTAAAAACATAAGCCCTATACATCCTAGGGTTTAGGGTTTAGGGTTTAGGGTTAAGACCCTACAAAACCCTTAAAACATAAGCCCTAAATCCCTCCAAACCCCAACTGTGAGCGCTGCGCATCGGCTGGCAGCAGATCCAGAAAGCCCGCTTGGAGTTTCGGGTTTAGGGTTCATGGGTTTTATAGGGTTTAGGGTTCATGGGTTTTATAGGGTTTAGGGTTTTAGGGTTTTAGGGTTTTGGGGTTTTGGGGTTTTAGGGTTTTAGGGTTTAGGGTTCATGTGTTTGATAGGGTTTAGGTTTTAAGGGTTTCATGGGCTTTCTAGGGTTTTGTAGGGTTTTTTATGGACTTTTGGGCTTAAGGGCTGAGGGTTTTGGGTTTTGTGGTTTTTTGAGCGTTAACGCCGAGTCCGTAATGGTTTTAGCAAGGGGCTTCTACAGGCCCCACAGTCGCAGGGCCCCCCATGGCCCTACACAAACTGACTGGGCTCTCCCTCGAGGAACCATCTTATGCCATGTACAAAGGGAGAGGCGCCTTAAGGGGGGAAATTACCTCTTCAGGTACAAGGTAAAGGAATGACGGGGGCTGCACAGGCTTTCCAGAGAATGTAGTCACTACTGACACCACTTGCCAGTCAAAAGTCTCGCCAACCAACATACAACGACCCGGTTTAGGGTTTAGGGCTTAGGGTTAGGGTTTAGGGTTTAGGGCTTAGGGCTTAGGGTTTAGGGTTGAGGAGCTTTTCATCCCGCAAAACATCTGATTTTGTGGGGCCTTCCCTCTGAAAACAAGCCGTAGCCCTCATTTCGGGTTTAGGGTTTGGGCTTTGGGGTTCAGGGTTTGGGGTTTAGGGTTTGGGGTTCAGGGTTTAGGGTCCTTCTCTCTGAAGACCAGCCTGTATGGCCCGAGAGCTTTCCCGAGGCGTGCGAAAGCCGACCTGGATCAAACCGCGCCCCAGCCAGGATCAGAGGGTTGTGATACCGTTGATCACCCCCAAGAGTTCATACCGGGGCCGGAGAAGGTCCCAACGATCCGGCTGTTCGCCGGTTAAAGCGGTACGCGAGTTGGGTTCAGAACGTCGTGAGACAGTACGGTTGCTATCTGCTGTGGACGTCGGAAAATTGAGAGGGGCTGTCCCTAGCCCCCCCCCCCAAACCGAACATCCAAGTCCTAAGGACCTGACGGGCTCCACTGCAATACAGGTGGCGGCACAGCAGGGTCACAATCAGGTCGCACCCTGGTTTGCACAGTTTAGTTCGGGAATGGTTTAGGGTTAGGGTTTAGGGTTTAGGGTTTAGGGTTTAGGGTTTAGGGTTTAGGGCTTAGGGTTTAGGGTTTAGGGGTTCAAAGTTTGAGGTTTAGGGTTTAGGTTTTAGGGTGACTTTATGAGCTGTGCCGGTACTTCCGCTCCTACACAAGCGGCTGATCTCCCTCATTGTTTTGGGATGCCCGATGTGCTGCGGCGGCCATAGCCCACAGGGTAGATGGGCTTTGCTTCATCTATGCTGGGGAAACGCCCTAGGCCGGACTGAGGCATACCGAACCTATGGTCGAAATATGTTGCCTCAAAGAGGCTACACTTGAACTTGAACCCTGCCGGGTAAGCATCCCGGGCCGCAGGATGCAGTGAGAGCCTTCTTCACCATGTCGAGAGACTTCAGATGATGATGCTTCTTTTTTACCTCCTGTCATACAGTTGGTGGCGCGTCACCAAGGGGGAGCGCGAGTGAGCAGCCAGTTGGAAGCAGCGAAGACCAACTCATCTGTGGCCTTGGATCTAGGTCTGCAGAACAGGAGCCCTTGTCACCAGCACACTGTTCCTTTCGAAAAGAAGCCAATATGTAAAGTGTACAGTGCTATGGACGAGAACATAGAACGCAAGTCTTGAACGTTAGAGTGTGTTGTTGCTTTGTTGTCTTTGCTGCTTGGCGACTAAAGATAACACTGCGTGACTCTGCCGTGGAGCCCGTAGCCCACGCAAGACCCGAAACCCTGACGCCTAAAGCCTAAACCCTAAACCCTAAACCCTAAACCCTAAACCCTAAACCCTAAACCCTAAACCCTAAACCCTAAACCCTAAACCCTAACACAAATCTCAGATATTTCTGAAACTGCTAGTTGAAATAAGAAAGTTGGAATCCTGGTGAAAGTCTGAGAAAGATTCTCTCCCCTGAGCCTGGGGTTCTCTGGGTTTATTTGGGTTGGACCTATCCCCTAAGGGTGTTTAGGGTTTAGGGTTTAGGGTTTAGGGTTTAGGGTTTAGGGTTTGCTGTGATAGGGCGTAGGTGCTGTGAAGATTAGGTTTCGGAACAAGGTGCGAAACAGAGCTTTGGCCCGATTGTGGAGGGCCATCTAACACTTTTCTCCCACCCCACGCCGTCCGAGGCGGCAAAGCCACCCAAACCTTTTCCTTTTAGGGTCTAGGCCTAAACCCAAGGCAACAGTCCACTTTTAAAACATTATTCAGTTTCATGGAATGGTAGGGTCTGCAGGCAGGCCAGAGTCTAATTTCTTGGCTAAGGCTAGACCGTATGCTAGCTACATCAAAGGAGCTACATTGTAGGGCTCCGTAGCCCTATACGCCCTAAACCCCGCACCTTTCAATGCCAAAACCCCTATCGAAGTCGTTGAAGGAAGCCTAAGCCACTAACCCTGAACCCCAAAAAAAACCCTAGTATAGAGGTCGGAATAACTTCTATTATGTCCCTTTGTAAATATGCTGTATTACCCCCCCCCCCCCCAAAAAAAAAAAAAAAACCCTATTCTAACAATTCAGGCCCCTATTACCAGGTGCAGTTTCTGTCCGAGAAGCACGCCAACCCCAATCGCACCGATGAGCGCTTTGGCCTGCAGAGGTGTTTGTTTGGCTTGCCGGGGTTTTATGGGGGGTTTTGATGGGTTTAGGAAAGTTTAGGGTTTAGGGTTTAGGGTCGTGTTCGTTTCCTCCAGTCTTTGGGGGGTTTAGTTTTTGTTTGGTGTGGGGCTGTACGGGGCAGGGCCCATATGTTTAGGGTGTAGGGTTTTTAGGGTTTAGGGCTTAGGGTTTAGGGTTAGCTGTTTTGATCCAAGGAGCGAGGTCAGCCCGCTCTACAGTGCGAGCCAGTTCGGCCACGAGGACGTCGTCCGATATCTGGTGACCCGTCAGATCCGGGTTTATGTGCGCATATACAGGGCTTCGGGTTCAGGGATTCATCCTCTTTGAAATCTGAAGGGCTTGTAGCATTTGGGGTTCATCTTTAGGAACGGTTCTGTTTGCAGAGGGTAACAAAAGGGCCCAAATTCGCACACCCCCAACCCTATACTCAACCCTAAATCCTAAACCCTAAACCCTAAACCCTAAACCCCAAACCCTGAACCCTGAACCCTGAAACCGAAACCCTACTCAACCCCTACATTCCATGCCTATACATAAACCCTGAGCTCGAGACCTTCCGGGCCCCTGGCACAGGGGCGCTCAGGACACGACGCTCGCCCCAAAACGGATGTAGGTTCCCTGTTTCTGGCTGTAGGCCTTTTGGGCAAATCAAAAACAAACAAAAACACACCCACCCTAACCCTAACTCCTCAAAAACAAAACACCCCAAACCCCAACTCCCTAACCCCCAAAATCCCTCTGAGGTTAACCACGGGGCCCAGCTGAACCAAGCCACCAAAGCGGGCGCCACCCCGCTCTTCATCGCCGCGCAGGAGGGCCAGGCAAGGGGCCCCCAGCGGGCGCTCCTCCCGGGAACCGTCGAAGGGTTCAATTAAGGGTTGTTCACGATTTAACTAAAGGGTTTAATTAAGGGGTTTAGGGTTTTAAGTGTTTAAGGGGCTTTCACGATTCAATAAATAAGGGTTTCGGGTTGAGGGTCATAAGGGTTGAATTGAAGATTTGAATTGAAGGGTTTAAAAGGGCGTTAGGGTGTCGGCATGTTCGCTGTATCTGGGATAAAGTTAGAAGTAAGGGGTGGCCCAGTTTTCAGAAACCCGAAGCCCCCCCAACCTCATTGTAGTAGCCCTAAACCCTAAACCCCAAACCCTAAACCCTAAACCCTAAACCCCTTTGCCCATGCTGGCCAGGCCACCACCGTCCAAGTTCTGCTCAACGCGCGGGCCGACGCCTTCAAAGCTCTGCCTTGTGGCTCGCTGCCTCTGTACATCGCGGTGCGGAACAACCACCCTGAGATGCTCGGGTGCTACTGCTATAAGGGGAAGTTCATGTGCTCCCCTAATATGGTTTCTTACCTTCCTTAAACGTTAAAGGGTTCTGAAGTATGAACATGGTCTCTTACGTTCGTTTAAAGGGGTTCTGAAGTGTGGGTTTAAGGGTAGCTAAGGGGTAGAAAAGGGGGCATCTAAGGAATCGAAGGGTTCCCCAGTTAAGGGCACAGAAGAATAAGAGACCATGTAACTACCCGAGGAGACCGAAAGACCCGAATGCGCAGTTCCTCCTTTTTTATGAGTGGGGGAGGGGGGTGCCTCATCGGGCCTGGGTTTTGTTTCTCATTTAGGTTTTTGCTATGTTGTTGTTTTATTTGTATTTGCGCTTGTTGTTTTATTGTTTGTCTTTTTGCTGGTATAGTACTGTTAGTATTCTGTATTTGTACCCTACACCTTGAACCCTAAACCCTAAACCCTAAACCCTAAAAATAAAACCCTAAACCCTATAAGGGTTGCAGCTGCAAACCACCTGAGACCAGGATCGTGGAGATGCTCCTGAAGGCCTCCATGCAGGTCGACAAGGCAATCAAGGACCCGAACGTCGGGGCGTTTGCGGTTTAGGGTTTCGGGTTCAGGGTTTAGGGATTCTGGTTTGAGGTTTGGGGTTTCGGGTTTAGGGTTTAGGGTTAAGATAAGGACTCTCAAGGACACCATGAGGCCCATAAGCCAGGTGTGGACTACGATGTACGGCGAGGGAGCTCTAGCAGCCCTAGACCACCGCCAACGCCAATAGACTACGATTCTACTCCTTCCGCAGACCCTAAACCTTGAACCCTAAACCCTAGACCCTAAACCTTAAACCCTAAACCCTAAACCCTAAGCCCCAAACCTTACGAGCCCGAAAGCCAGATCGAGGTGCTAAACCGTCAAAAAAGCCCTCCACCCTGCTTTGACTCGGCCCTTTGGGTGGTATAGGGTTCAAGGTTTCGTTTTGAATAATTCGTTTTGAATAAGCTCATAGGGTTTAGGGTCTTGAACCCTCAACCCTAAACCTTAAACCCGAACCCCAAACCCTCAACCCTAAACCCCAAACCCTAAACCCTAAACCCTAAAACCCTAAACCCTAATCCCTTTGAAGGACCCGACTGATGGGGTGGAGAAGCCGCCGCTGGTTATCGCAGCAGCCTTCGGCCATGCTGACGTCGTGCGCGTGCTGAAGCGTTCCTTTGCGCTTAGGGGGGTTAGGGCTTTTAGGGCTTATGCAGCTTACCTGTAATCCCAAGTACCTGCAGTTTTGTGGGTTATACCTCTTAGTTACGGGGAAATTACTACGAAACTGCAGGTAATTGGGGTAGGCGGGCCGAGGGGGAACGGGGGGGGAATGAATTAGCGGAACCTTTGCCCGTTTTTGGTAATAATACCACCAGCCTACCACTAACCTACCCATTAAAGGATTATATACTCCCCCGTACACCTCTGCAAATGCACAGCTACTTTCCAAATTCCCCGTCCAACCTGGCTTCTCTGAACCACAAGGACCAGCTGATGGTAGCCTTAGAAAGCCCCAGGTGGTGCGAGCACGCTATGTAGGCATTCGTGGTTATCTGCAGTTGTGCCTGACGTGGTTGCCCATTATGAACATCATCCCTCCGGGTGTCGACGAAGCCAATGAGGACTATGCGCTCTAACCTGCCAGTGCAGCAGAGTGTCTTGCGAGTATTGGATGCACCGTTCAATGAGACACAAATCCCAAACTATACACTGCTCACCAATGTTGGGCTATCACCCCTGCCCTGCTGATTCTCTGTCTCTTGCAGCAGACAGGCTTTCAGCATTTGTGTTTGTAGTGTGCTCCCTGCGCATCTCATGATGTCAGCCGCTGCCGGGGCAGACAACCAGCATCCCGTCAAGACTGTGGTCTACCTGGAGGAGGGTACACAGAAGTTTGAGTTCATTGGCAAACTCAAGGAAGCCTGGTATGACACCAAGGACGTTACGAAGATCATCCAGTCTAACTTGCGCTCCAGGATGATCATAAACAACAACACCATGGCAGGTGATCCTGCACCTGGTACAGTGAAATCCTTGAAGCTCGTGTTTGAGGGTGATGCGGTATACTTCATCCCAGAAAGATGCCGCACGATCTTGCAAGGCAAAGTCAAGACAGCGGAGTACGGAGCAGGACAACTGCAAGCCAGTGTCGTCGAGGAAGTGAACCGAATGATGCCCAGAGTTGCGGCCTCCAATGCGGATCATGATATTGGAAAGGACCCAGCCCGGGGGCGTTTCAAGTGGCTGAAGATCGTCTTCTCGGGTGAGCCTGACCTGCGCCGATGGAGGTATGACAACATCCACGCTATCAATGGCGTAATCACCAGCCGAAGCCGATTGTGAACAGATTTGCGCATTCCTGTCACAGAGCAATGTTGTTGGATTCTGTTACTGCCCATGCCATTTCAAGGCGGGGCGTTTGCAGTGTAGCGGATAAGCTTTCCAGGGCAAGTTGTCCTGAATCCTAGTCCCGCCGTCTCACAACATGTGCATGTAGTGACGTTCTTGTCAGATCTTCCATTCTTGTGCATAGTCAGCAGTTAAGCCTGTCTCAAGTTGGAGCACTAGCCCATCAAGAACCCGAATCTTGCTAGATCTTCGCTGGACTATGCACATGAGACTCTAGCCTGTTCACGCACATGTCCAGAGGAAAATTGCGTCTTGCATAGATGGTCGCAAGAATGATCATATTGCGGGTGGAGACATGAAAAAGGGTAAACATATAGTAGAACCGAGAGACGAGCACAAGGCAAAAGTGAACACTTTAATGCCCATACCTCTCTTTAAGAATGATACCCTGTCTATAGAGGATGAGTGGGATACCAGGCATTTTGCAGAATACATCGTTAAACACAGTCCTCTAATGATACGATCTAAATATGCGGGAGGAGGCAAGTCACATATGACCAGGTAATTTAGCAAACTTTGTTACAAGACCCTGTTCATAGTTCCACAGAACAATCTCTCACAAAACATACAAGATGACGCTGTAACGACAAACAAGTTTCCTCTGTACCTGTGGGTGATGGAGAGAAGCTTCCGAAGTGTGATCACAGTCTAATGTCATAGTCAAACATGGGATGTTCCCTCATCCTCTCAGTCCTTAATGAAGATTATCATCGGGGGGGTACTATATTCTCTGCTAAGGAGCTGTTCGCAAAAATGGGGAACATCCCAACCCCTAAACCCGAAACCCTAAGCCCTAAACCCTAAGCCCTAAACCCTAAACCCTAAACCCCAAGCCCTAAACCCTAAACCCTAAACCCCAAACCCCCTCAAAATCCTAAGCTCAAGGTTCCCGTGTGGATGTGGACAAGGCCTCCGGCGCTCTCGACACAGCCATGGAGGTGGCGAAGAAGGCGCCACTTGGGGAGGTTGTGCTAAATTCAGCCAAGCCCTAAACCACAAACCCTAATTGAACCCCAAACCACAAACCCTAAACCCCAAACCCTAAACCCCAAACCCTAAACCCCAAACCCTAAACCCTAAACCCTCCTAAAAAAAGTATTTGACCATAATGAACCTCCAGGCCGGCCACGAGGACGTGGTTCGCGTCCTTCAAGGCACCCTGGCGGACTACCGTCCCTTAGGGTTAAGGGCTGCAAGCTTTATAGGTTTCATACTGAAGTATTTTCGGGTTATAGGGTTTGAGGTTGCAGGGTTGTTCTATAGCTAGGATAATGATCGGGATTTAGCGTTCATAGCTTTTTTAGGGTTACGGGGTGTAAGGTTATGGGGTTCGTCGGGTATTGGCCTTTGAGTGTAGCGTATGGGTTTCGGGTCCATAGGTTTAGGGCTTATACTGGGATATGGGGCTTAAGGTTTCGGGTTCATACACTTCAATGGGATTGTTGGCACTAAACCCTGCACCCCCCGATACGGAGTCGCAAGGGCTCTCTGGTCCCCCATACCTCTCTAGAGGGTTTTGAAGTAGGACGTTCGGTATGGGCCCTTAGGTTGTACAGGTTACTCGTGGGGTATCATTGGGGCTTCTCAAAAGAAACCTCCTAAACCCTAAACCCTACACCCGAAACCCTAAACCCTAAACCCTAAACCCTAAACCCTAAACCCTAGACCCTAAACCCTAAACCCTAAACCCTTACATTAACGGGCAACAAAAAGACGCAGGGGAATCGAAGCCGAGGCAGCGAGCCCCTGGGCGGCAGCGACATGGCCACCAGGGCACCCCGACCGCCCGACGTGGCAGGCCACACGGAGCAGGGTTTAGGGTTTAGGGTTTTAGGGTTCAGGGTTTAGGTTTTAGGGTTTAGGGTTTAGGGTTTAGGGTTTAGGCTTTAGGGTTCAGGGTTTAGGGCTTAGGGTTTAGGGTTTAGGGTTTAGGGGTCCATGTACCTGGGAATACTTGGGCCTTATGGTGGTGTTCAGGGTATACAGGTTTTTTAGGGGCGGGGCGATTCTGGGCCTTAGTTTAGGGTTTAGGGTTTTGGCTTTAGGGTTTTGGGTTCAGGGTTTAGGGTCTAGGGTTTAGGGTTTAGGGGTCCATGTACCAAATAGGGAATACTTGGGCCTTAACGTACCTCCTATATCGGGACTGTTGGGCCCAAGTACATAACAATGAGGTACATGGACCCTTAGGGTATGACCTATATATACCTGGGGATGTCCCCCCTCTTCATACTTACAGTCCTCAATAGGGGTCATAGTACCCCCGATTCTAATTCCGATTATTGAATGTTGGTATAATGGGGGAACATCCCAACATATACGGTTCATAGAGTCTATAGGGTGCCTTCAGGGTTGGTAGGGTGTCTCTCGGGGTAGGGTTTAGGGTTTTCGGTTTTGGGTTTTGGGTTTAGGCTTTTAGGGTTTATGGAGTCTGCAGGGACTGTGGAGTCTGTAGAGAGGGCTGGGGGCTTCAAAGGGTTTATCGCATCTCCGAAACTTCTTGGATTCATAGGGGTTAGGGTTTAGGGTTTAGGGTTCAGGGTTTAGGGTTTGGGGTTTAGGGTTCATAGGGGTTTAGAGGTGACTGGGCTGGTGGTGTTCAGGGTATACAGGCTTTTTTGGGGCGGGGCGATTCTGGGCCTTAGTTGAGGGTTTAGGGTTTAGGGTTTAGGGTTTGGGTTAAGGGTTTAGGGTTTAGGGTTTAGGGTTTCGGAGGGCCTTCAGGATGTTCAGGGTTTTGGGTGGACGCAGGGTTGACAGGGTTGTGAGGGTTTAGGATTGAGGGCTAGGTTCTGTGGCGGTGCATGGTAGGGGTCTCGGGTTTAGGGGTCTTTTGGGTAGGGCACTCCCTCCCTCAGCGCCCGACTCCCTCCCAAACCCTGTAGACCAAGACCCTGAACCATTGCAAAAAGCTTTTGGTAGCTATCTTTCTTAGGGTCCTCTTTTTGAGGTCCTTTTACGAGGGTGCCATATTGTGTAGGGGGCCCACAAAGGGACCCTAGTTAAGAGAACTACCGCATTGCGCCCCCATCAAGAGCGGTTGACACCTGCCTGCCGCCCTGGAGTACCTGCGACCAGAGACCAGGAGGCCAATCTCGAGGACTGCCTCTAATCATAGGGTTTAGGTTTAGGGCTTAGGGTTTAGGGTTTGGGGTTGGGTTCGGCCGGTCCACACTAACAGTCAAATAACGCCGTGGCCTTATAACACACAGGCCAAAAATAGCACCAGGAATCCCAGTCAATTTTAGCATTTACCGGGTGCTTCTTTTGTGGGTCTGCTGGTGGTGACTGTTAGTCACATAGCACCAGAAATAGCACCAGAAATAGCACAAACAATAGCACAAAAAATAGCACCAGAAATAGCGCCAGGAATAGCACAAAAAATAGCACCAGAAATAGCACAAACAATAGCACAAGAAATTGCACCAGGAATCCCAGTCAATTTTAGCAGCTTAGCATTTACCGGGTGCTGTTTTTTGTGGGTCTGCTGATGGTGATTGTTAGTCACATAGCACCAGCAACAGCACCAGAAATAGCACCAGAAATAGCACAAACAATAGCACAAAAAATAGCACCAGAAATAGCACAAACAATAGCACAAAACATAGCACCAGAAATAGCACCAGGAATAGCACAAAAAAATGCACCAGAAATAGCACCAGAAATAGCACCAGGAATAGCACCAGGAATAGCAGGAATCTCAGTCAATTTTTTGGCATTTACCGGGTGCTTTTATTTGTGGGTCTGCTGGTGGCGACTGTTAGTGTGGACCGGCCGAACCCAAGTTTGGGGTTTAGGGTTTAGGGTTTAGGGTTTAGGGTTTAGGGTTTAGGGTTTCCTAAACCCAAACCCAACAGTGACACGAACGCACCCCTTTGGGCAGGGCTTTGGACACCTCTATGATTCGAAGTGCTTGCGGAGGGTATCGGAGGTAAATCACAGACTTTTTGTTCATCCTTTTTTCGTAGAGGGTTTAGGCTTTAGGGTTTAGGGTTTAGGGTTTAGGGTGTAGGGTTTGGGGTTTGGGGTTTAGGGTTTAGGCTTAAGGGAGCCCGTGAGGGGTACCCCTTGGCGAAAGATTCTTTGGCATCCCCCACCCCTAAATCTTAAATTCTAGCCCTAAACCCTAAACCTTAAACTCTAGCCCTAAACCCTAAACCTTGTATCCCTACTACCAGTACCTAATGCCCTGAAAGCCACAAAGCCCAAAGCCTCTAAACACTCGACCCTGTATCCTAAACATCAACCGCCCACCGGAAAGCCAGCTCTGGTGACGGCAGATTCGTAGGTTTGATCATCCACAGAGAGAGAGAGAGAGAGAGGGAGAGAGAGAGAGAGGCAAAGGCTCCCAAACGAAGTACATTTAGGGCTTTCGGGTTCTTAAGTATAGAAGAGTTCTATATGGCACTGGCAGGTACAGGAGACCACTGATCTAGCACAACCCTAAACCCTAAACCCTAAACCCTAAGCCCTAAGCCCTAAACCCTAAACCCTAAACCCTAAACCCTAAACCCTAAACCCTAAACCCTAAACCCTAAACCCTAAACCCTAAACCCTAAACCCTACCCCTAAACCCTAGCCCTTGCCCTTCACAGCTTCAGGACGACAACACTGCCGGATGTGGACGCCCTATATGCAGGCACAGTGTCGGTGCTAAGAGCGGCAGCATGATTTCGGGAAACTGGGTTGAGGGATATAGGAGTTCCCCCCTTTAGGGTTTAGGGTTTAGGGTTTAGGGTTTGCTTCGCCGTAGACCCGGTACGTTCTTTGGGCTCTGGGGTGTGTTTGTGAATTGTTTGTTGGCCTGTCTTTGCTGCTCAGCCTTCTTGGGGGGTGTGTTTACATACCATAATAAGGGTCCACGTACCTTTCTAGTATATGCTTGGGCCTTTAAGGGGGATTCCCACAAGTGTTTACTACCATAAAGGTACATGGAC